CAGTTTTTTCATTTTTAAATTTACTTATTTAATAAATCTAACTTAATATATTTTTTTATTTGATTTATTGAAATATAGAACATGAAATTAACCTCTTAAACTGAAACCTAATAAAATATTAAGCGAAAAGCTATGACAAATTGGATCATATAATTTGAAATTTCGTAATGATACTAACTTCTCATCAAACTTTAACTTTTTATGCAATAGAATTTTATTATCACAAGTTAAGGTAGGTAGTAGGTATTTATCAAAAAAAAAAATATTAATAATAAAATTATATATTAAATTTTTTCGTAATATTTTTTTTAAAATAATAAACTTACCGAATGTAAATACCAAATTAGTCCTATTATAATTAGAAATTCACATGATTTAAAATAAATAACAATAATCAAAAAAGTGACTTTGATATTAAAAAATTATACTTACCACCTAATGCGAACAACATCAAAGGCCTATTATTAGCTGCTTTAATGGCTTCAGGCCAAATTTCTAATTTCATTGGCAGCAATTTATTTAATTATATAATATGTTATAAATTTGTTTAGTAATAAAACAAAGGTACCTGAGTCATATCCATTATTACTATTTTTTATCGTTTCATCATCGTTGTCATCTTTCCTAGTTAAATTTTGTTTATTGGAAAAATATCAAGAATACCTAATATCATCTCAAGTAGCATTTGCATCCTAAAATTCTCTTTCAGGTATGAGTCCAGTCCATATGAGACAATTAATACAGTGAATGTTTATTAAGCATTCCTATTAGAAAGATTTTAAAATACATAAATAATAGTCCTACCAATTTGCTTATAAAAAATTGGATTAAGTTCGTAAATACCAACTTTTTCATATACAATTTCTTTTAGTTTCACTTGCATGATTAAAGTTTCGAATTGAGTCTAATCAATGTTATTAATAAATGACACGAGATTAAATTCGCCAGTCGCTGTATCAACAAAACATATGCCATAAGCAGGTGGATCATTTTCAGTTGGACAAGACTCCTGTATATATAATAGTTAACGATTTGATAAATGAATGACGTGTATAAATAAATTTGAATGCGATACTAACTTTAATTGATATGCAATAAGTTGACATTTCATTAGTCAACAGTTCACCATCTACAAGTATTCTGATGGTAATGATAGAAGTTAATTGACGTCTTATAACTTTTTCTTCCTGTAATATATCAAATATTTTTAATTCTTAAATTCAAAACCAAACAGGAAAAGAAAAATGAGCATGAATAAAAAATAATAATAACCTTTTTCTTGATCACTTTTTCACGCATCTCTTTACCTAGTGCTGTTTCCATTTGGTCAACCCTCGCAACTTTATGACTTTTGTTTTTAATAAATCAAGAAAAGTTATGTAAATATATAAAATTTTCTATTAATAGAAAATAAATTTATATACCCTTTTGCAATAAACTGAGCTGCCTAATGTTCTAAAGAAAATTCGGTATACCAACCATTTGCATATTAACACAGTCTGTAAGTTGTTTAAGTTCAAATTCTGTATGATCTTACGTTCATATAATTCTAAAAAATTAAACCAATTAAAATTAATAAAAGAAATGTTATTTAACGCTTGATAGCAAATATAGAATAGCCAAAAATTATTACCGTAAAATTTTCCTTTCTTGAAGAATACAACCTAATATTAGAAGA